AGGCTTAGAAGCTTAGAAGCGTGTGGCGAATTTCAGACCCCATTTCCAAATGCACTGTCGTGCGTCATCAGGGCATTCGGATTTCGGATTCGCTCGTCCTGCTGAGCTTTGCAACATCTTGTTTCCGAACATGTCCGATCGCTTGGGCGGAGCATTTCACGTGACAAAACCATCAGCCCTGGAAGGTATCATTTTGAGAGGTATCGTTTCTGGCGGCAATGACAGTGCGCGAAGATTGGCAGTACACTTCGTCCGGAGTGTTTGCACCTTGGGACAGCGAAAACATCTCGACCAAGACTGCAACGCACGATGTCAAGGAGGGAGACGACCTCATCGCCATCTACGTGCCAACAAGGAAATAGACCGTTCCCTTCAAAGAGAGAGGGCAATCTGGAGACTCAAGTCCACGAAGAAAGGACCTGTGAAGGACTCCTTCGCGCAGCTGCCAGCCCCGCCAGCAGCACCAGCAGCACCAGCAGCACCAACGGCACCAGCCCCGGCGCCGCTGACGACCGCGTCGCCGGCCACGTCGGAGGAGGGCGGCCTCTGGCCATGACCCCGGCGGACTTCCTTGGAAACCTCAACAGTTTCCTGGATGATGAAGATTCAGCGGATGCCGACATCCTGAAGAAGATGGTCGTCGATACTTGCATCAAGATCAGAGTACCCGAAGCCTTGGACAAATCGTTGGTAGAGATCAGGGACTTGCTCAGCAGATTCATTGTCTACCGCGAGGACGATCCCTCAAGTATTTCCAACAGGGTATGCCCAGCATGCGCTATCATTATTCCAAGGGGATTTTGCTATTGCACGGCATGCCAATGCGAGTTCATTTCCACCGGGTGACCTCTTCATAGGTTGGCGGGATTGGAATGTTCGTCTCATCGACATCTTTGAAGATCCAATCATCCCTCCCGTTGAACGAGATGTAGGGGCAGTAGAGTCCGCCTTCTTTGCCAGGCTCCTTGACGACATCTGCCTCGTTGTTGGCGAACACCTTCCATACTTTGAAAAGTACGACGCCAATGAATCAGGCACGATGCCTCACCGGCTTCGTCAACGCAGATGGCTTTGACTTGCAGGAGATGGATTGCGTCCGCATCCTCCTCTGGGTTGTCCGGACAAACTCCCACATCTTCATCGTCCATGTCCGTCCCGATGTCCGACGGGATGTACGATCTGCCTGCAGACCGCCCTGCCGCTCCAAAGTTCAAGAATGTGAGGTTCAAGAGCACGAACCACAGGGACGAGGAAATGTTCTTTTGGTTCCTGAAGCTAAGAGGGCTATACTTCATGTACCGGATCTGGACCGCCTGCAGTATACTCGGTATCAAAGCAGAGCAGTTCAGAGGCGTCAGTCATCTGAAGGACATCGGATTCTTCAGCGACACAATATTCCGTTGCATCGCCCTCGGCCTCAACTGCGATTACATGACCTTCTACCGAACAGATGTGAACATTGGACGCAAGTTCTTGAAACTTGAGCCTGGTGCAGTCATTTGCATTCAAGGAGTAAAAGAGGTTGACACTCCTCTTATCCAATGGTGCTACTCTCGCAACACACATCTGCCCTCGCGATTTATCGAGAAGATCGATCGGACCGAGGAGACACCAGGTTCTCTGTTAGAAAGGTTCCGGTGGAGAGCGAGTAGAAAGGCCATCGCAGAGTCATCACACTGGTGATCAAGCATTTTCTTACGATTTCTTCTACGTGGGGGAAGAACTGGAATTTGCAATTAGACAATGGGATCGTGATACTCATCGTGAATGGTATTTTTGGCCAGTACTCGTGGTACTCGTCGTGTGCGGCACACCGGGCAAACCAAAAGTATTTGCACGAGACTTCCATTTATCATCACAAAATGTTTTATTGTTTCCGTACAGTATAGTCATCGGCGACTACTATTCTGGAGATGCCAGGTATTTGGTGGTCAACGGTTATTCGGTGCTACAATTATTATTGGTTACAAATTGGTGATGGACTATGCTCGTCATGGATATTCGTCTTCTGCAGACTGGCATGGATCTGTACAATTACCTTATGGATAGCTTGCTGCATGTGCAACACTGCACATGAGGTCCGGTAAGAGACCTGTAGCATTCTTGTTTCCTGTTTAGTTTCAGAACCTGGTCGAACTCGTGCAGAGACGTTTCACTGAATTGAAAATGAGTGAAGCCATGCGTCCATGCGTGTCGGCATGCGTTTGAGATTGGTTCCCGACCCAGGGATGAACCCAAGCCCGGGATGGGGGATGCTAAGAATCTCCGAGCCGCAGGCTAAAACATCCTAAGGGCAGGTTCTGAGTGTCACCCTGTTACTTCCCTTTGTTTAAGGTCTCAAAAAACCTTTTGGGGAGATTGTGTTTTGTGTGCAGTTGACATGATAATAGAATCGAGACAAGCATCCAAACACTGCAGTGAAACAAAGCAAAAGGGTTCGTATTCCGCGGTCGCATCGAGTCGTGAGACGACGCAGATCATTTACCTTACAACCCCCTTTTACCACGACCACTACTATACGACTTGATTGGTCACCCCACGGGAGTCGAACCTCAACTGCCCTGTCATTTGACTACGTGGTTGATCCGCCTCCTGGCAGTATCCATGCCTGGCACAGTAAGAACACCCGCCCACGCGCGTCATCTCAGCATTGTATCCATGCCTGGCACATGGTAAGCGCCCCCGCCCACGCGCGTCATCTCAGCATTGTATCCATGCCTGGCACATGGTAAGCACACCCGCCCACGCGCGTCATCTCAGCACTGTAGGCATGCCTGGCAAATGATAAGCACCCCCACCCACGCTCGTCATCTCAGCATGTGTCCACGCGTGGCACATGCTAAGCACACCAGCCCACGCACGTCATCTCAGCATTGTATCCATGCCTGGCACAGTACGAACACCCGCCCACGCGCATGTCGCTCAAGTGTACTTATGTCTATCACATGGTATGCACACGCTTTCAAGCGCGTCATCTCAGCACTGTACCCCATGCCTGGCACATGGTAAGCACACCCGCGCATGTCGCTCAAATGTACCTAAGCACACCCGCTCACGCGCGTCATCTCAGCACTGTACCCATGACTGTCACATGGTAAGCACACCCGCCCACGCGCACGTTCACATGTACTTATTTCTGGCACATGGCACCCGCACACGCGCATCATCTCAGCATTGTATCCATGCCTGGCACATATCCATGCCTGGCACATGGTAAGCACACCCGCCCACGCGCGTCATCTCAGCACTGTACCCATGCCTGGCAAATGATAAGCACACTCGCCCACGCGCGTCATCTCAGCATTGTGTCCATGCGTGGCACATGGTAAGCACACCAGCCCACGCACGTAATCTCAGCATTCTATCCATGCCTGGCACATGGTAAGAACACCCGCGCACGCACATGTCGCTCAAATGTACTTATGTCTGGCACATGGTAAGCACACCCGTCCACGCGCGTCATCTCAGCATTGTATCCATGCCTGGGACATGGTAAGAACACCCGCCCACGCGCGTCATCTCAGCTCTGTGGCGCATGGTAAGCACACCTGTCCACGCGCGTCATCTCAGCATTGTGTCCATGCCTGGCACATGGTAAGCCGCCCAAGCGCGTCATCTCAGCATTGTATCCATGCCTAACACCCGCCCACGCGCGTCATCTCAGCATTGTATCCATGCCTGGCACATGGTAAGCACACCCGCCCACGCGCGTCATCTCAGCACTGTACCCACGCCTGGTACATGACAGGCACACCCGCCCACGCGCGTCATCTCTCAGCATTGTATTCATGCCTGGCACATGGTAAGCACACTCGCCACTCGCCCACGCACATCATCATGCCTGGCAAATGATAAGCACACCCGCCCATCTCAGCACTGTACCCATGCCTGGCACATGGTAAGCACACCCGCGCAGTCGCTCGAATGTACTTTTTCCTGGCACATGGTAAGCACACCCGCTCACGCGCGTCATCTCAGCAGTGTATCCATGCTTGGCACATGGTAAGCACACCCGCCCACGCGCGTCATCTCAGCACTGTACCCATGCCTGGCACATGGTAAGCACACCCGCTCACGCGCGCCATCTCAGCACTGCACCCTACCACCCGCCCACGAGATCCTTCCCCGGTATGGCCGCGTTTCGTTTGCTGTTTCTTGCAATGCTTCAACCCATGCTTCAACCCAAAAATGCCGGGCGCCATGCTTCAACCCCGCAGGACAGTTTGCAAGAAAATGGTGTCTCAAAAACGTACTTTTTTGGGGGACCTCAACGATGGAAAACGATGACAGTTCTGCGTCTTGAAAACACGGCTCTTCAAAATCGCTCCGCCTTCCACGGCGGCGAAACAAACTAATGCCTTGTTGTTGTTGTTGCTGTTGCTGTTGCTGTTGCTGTTGCTGTTGCTGTTGCTGTTGTGGTTGTGCTTGTTGGTTGTGGTTGTGGTTGTTGTTGTTGTTGTGGTTGTTGGTGTTGGTGTTGGTGTTGGTTGTGGTTGTGGTTGTGGTTGTGGTTGTTGTTGTTGTTGCTGCTGCTGGTGGTGGTGGTGGTGTTGGTGGTGGTGTTGGTGGTGTTGGTGGTGTTGGTGGTGTTGGTGGTGTTGGTGGTGGTGTTGGTGGTGGTGTTGGTGTTGTGGTTGTTGTGGTTGTTGTGGTTGTTGTGGTTGTTGTGGTTGTTGTGGTTGTTGTTGTTGTTGTGGTTGTGGTTGTGGTTGTGGTTGTTGTTGTGCTTGTTGTCGTTATTGTTGTTGGTGGTGGTGTTGTTGGGGTTGCTGGTGGTGGTGGTGGTTTCAGTGTTCGTGTTGGTGTTGTTGGCGGTGTTGGTGCTGTTGGTGTTTGTCGTGTTTGTGTGGTGCCGGTGGTGCCGGTGTTGGTAGTGTGGGTGGTGTTGGTGTTGGTGTTCTTGGTGCTGTTGTTGTGGCTGCTTCTACTGCTGACGTGGTTTTGGGTTCCCAGGCTTTCCTTGTTTCCAGTATTTGTGGTTCGCTATGACCAGCGCCTAGGCAGGGTTCGATGGGCGACCCACTTCCGCGGCCGCAAGGCCCAGGCACGGCCGTTCTTGCATAGCTCTGCTGTCGCAGTTGCAACGTGTTGCAACGTGTTGTTACGCTGCGCCTCGCAGTGCGCTGCAGGGCGCTTGTGCGCACTTCCTCGCACTGCCTCACGTCTCGCTCGCAATGCCCCGCAGCGCGCCACCTTGCACTAGTGCTGCGCAATGTGCCTTGCAATTGGGCTACGGCGCTGTGCCTCCGATTGCTACACAGCGCCCCGTAGTGCGGCGCAGTGCCCGCAATTTCCCACATTGACTTGCAGCGCCTCACGCTGGCCCGCACTTGCTCGCGCTGCCTTGCGCTTCCTCGGGCCGCTCCGCATTGCCTCGCTGCCCTCCCTCGCACTGTGTGCTTTCGCTTTGCCTTGCAAGACCTCGCATGGCCTCGCGCTGCATCGCGCAGTGGCTCGGACCGTGCCTCGCACCGTGCCTCGCAGTGCCCGAGTGCCCCGTCAGTGTGCCTCGCCGTGCCTCGTCGTGTGCCTCGCAGTGTGCCTGGCAGTGTGCCTCAGTGTGCCTCGCAGCGCTTCTCCCGCCGCTTTGCAGTTCCTCGCAGCGCATCTTCATTGTCCGACAGTACCTTGCAGTAGTTTCTGCTTTTCCGAGCATTGGGGTCGAGCCAGGCCAAGGTCCCATCGACTCTGCGCAGGGCTTGCGCGCAGGGCCCCTGCCGCCGGGTGAGGACAGGGAGAAGACAAAGAGAGACAAGGTTACAAGCAACGCATGCAGGAGTTGGGTGACAGGGCCGCCCAGCTCCGTGCCCGAGCTGAGGGCCTCAGGCGCTCACTTTTTCCGCAGCGTTGCGGGAGGTCAGAATAAATGATGTCTTGCATGTTTTGCTTGTGTCTTTGCGTTTTTAGTCCACGTGGTGGGCTCGGGCATATCTGCGCGGGGCGCGGGTGGTTTTCTCATCAGTTTTTGATATCTCTTGGTCCTGCCAGGGGCGAGGTGCAGCGATGGCAGGCGACTCGCAGAGGTGGGTCTGCGCGGCGTGCGGTAGATGTGCGAGAGCACATGGTGCTGTTTCCCACTTCTTCTCCTTTTTTTTGCCTTTCTTCCCTGTCTTTTTCTATCTTTCTTTCTTCCTTCCTTCCTCTCTTTCTTTATTCCTTTCTGCTTCCTTCCTTCCTTGCTTGCTTGCTTGCTTGCTTGCTTGCTTGCTTGCTTGCTTGCTTGCTTGCTTGCTTGCTTGCTTTGTTTCGTCGTTTGTTTGTTTGTTTGTTTGTTTGTGTCTTTCTTCCTTCCTTCCTTCCTTCCTTCCTTCCTTCCTTCCTTCCTTTCTGTCTTTCTTTCTCTCTTCCTTTCTTTGTGTCTGTCTGTCTGTCTGTCTTTGTTTTTTCCCCTCCCGACACGAAGGGGTTGTTAGATTTTTCGTTGGAATCCACACCCAGTGGACCCCGCCGAGTATCCCGCCAGAGCAGCTCGCCAGTATCCCGCCGAGCATCCCGCCAGAGCAGCTCGCCGCCGAGTATCCCGCCAGAGCCGCCCAGTATCCCGCCAGAGCTGCTCACCAATGGACTTCGCCGAGTATCCCGCCAGAGCGGCTCGCCAGTGGATCCCGCCTAGCATCCCGCCGCCGAGCATGCTGCTGAGTACCCAGAGTAGCTCGCCAGTGGATCCTGCCGACCGCTGAGTATCGTGGATCCTGCCGAGTATCCGGCCACTATCGAGCCGGAGCGGCTCGCCAATATTGCCACTGGATCCCGCCAGTACCCCGCCAGGCAGCTCGCCAGGTTTTGCTTAATGTCCTGCCCGGCGCGCAGTTGGGTTTACATTTCATGTTGGTACCTTCGTGTTTTGAGTGTGCCCTGAGGCTCGGAAAGGGCGATGCTTTTGTGTTGCTTTGGGTTGAACCGATGTTTGAGTTCTCGAGATCAGCTCGCAGACTAGTGGAGTTGGACACACAGACAGGTGGATAAGGCTCTCAATGCAAAGATTGTTGAGCAGTCATAGGCCCCAAGCCGCGCGAAAACCATGCTTGAAACACCACCGCGTTCACGGTCGTAAGCTCGTGAGTGTGGAGGGTGGGGATTGCTCGAAGCGACGTACTTGTTCCTTTCATTAGTTTCTTCTTTCGTTCTTTCTTTCCTTCTCTTCTTTTTCTTTCTTTCTTTCCGTCTGTCTGTCTGTCTGTCTGTATTTCTTTTTCATTCTCTCCCCGTTATCAGTTACTGTCAGTATCTGTTTGTTTCTTTCATTTTGACTTTCTTTCCTACCCTCTGTTTTCTGCATGTTCTTTCCTTCTTGCTGTGCACTAGCATGCGCCGCTGGCAAGATAGCAGTAGCAAGGCCAGTAGTAGCGAGTAGCGCGAGCGAGATAGGCTAGCAAGAAGCACTAACAAGATAGCGCGTGCAAGATTCAGCTGGCAATTTGCATGAGGTGAGTTGGGCTAGCAAGTTGCACTATGAACTTGCAAACAAGAGGTTGCTGTAGCAAGCTGCAACATCAGTTTACACAAGAGATGCGCACGAGAGGTTCTCAGCATACCACACTAGATATACACCTTTGCAATTTTATTATAACTCGCGCGTGAAAGAAGAACTTGAAGCTCTTTCCCTGCCAACTTTTTAAGCGTTACTTCACCTGCTAACTTCTCCTGCCCAATTCCAGCGCGACCCGTCACCTGCCAAGCATTCATGTCCGAGACGTAAGACCTACCCTCTCAAGGTCCCAACACTCCGTGGCCAAGCAGAGCAGAGACAGGTGTTCGTCTCATCAAGAGACATGTCTCAACCATGCTCACCTTGAGACCTATAACAGGCAAACAACGCGTAGAAGCAGCAGCAACTGCAAGAAACCTTTCAGTGACATACGGCGGCAAGAACTAGCGTTCGGACGCGTGTCCAACTGGAAATACTCCATAGGTCACCCCTCCTAAGACGGGGAAAAAGCTGCCTGCTGGACAAATTCGGCAGACAGTCGCGCCACAAGGCTCGGCGATCTAAGGCCTGGGTTTGTCAGGTTACCAGCTGTAGGGTTTGCCCCACGTTCAGTGAGACAAAGGTTGATTCGAAGCGAAAGGTCTTGTACCTAGCTCCATATTGAATCAATCGTTGCATTGCCAAGTCGCACAACGCTTGCGTGACAATGTCCGATGGAAATCTTCGATTACGTTCGCGGCACCTGCAGACAGCCAAAAGCGCAAAACTGATCCATTGGGCTCTCAGACATTCTGAGCTTCGGCTGTTCGATGTGCTGTGGCAGGTGCAGCAGCAAGTTGGCACACAACAGGGCGCCTGTCACTCGCCGGCCTTGTTTGGGCGCATTTTGGCCTCTAAGTTTGACGGGGCATTTGGTTTATTGATGACGCAATTTGTCTTTTCAGGTCCTCTGCGCAGTACCGCCGGCTTCTGCCCCAGCTTGTCCAGATGCTGCAGGACTTGGGCCTCCAGATCAATGTCAAGAAAAGTTCTACTCTCTCCAACACTGGCAGCCCGGGTTCCACGCTTGGCCTCCGCAGTGTGCCGCATGTTTCTGACTCTGTCTACTTGGGCTTGACGCTGGCGCTCAAGGAGGGCGATTCGCATATGCTACAGGGGATTACAGGGGCTTATTCGCCGAACTTCAAAATCTTTTGCTGCTGGTTTCCCCTGCTGCTGACAGGGCCTCCAAGCTGAGATTGTTTCACGCCCTTGTTACAGGCTCTATTCTGTGGAGTCTTTGCGTGCTTGCGCCACACCAGAGCAGCCTACGCTCCCAGGTCACCTTACTGGGGTGGGTGTTGAGAGTCACAGTACATTTCTCTTGGGATACCAGTCAGTATATTTTCATCTCTCGACATGCTGTAAAGCTGTGGGCCTTTGCCTATGCTGGTTTGTGGGATGAATTGCTGCTCACTCAGCAGTGGAGGTGGGTTGGCCACTTGTTGCGGCAATCGGACGACTCCTTTTGCAAGCTCGCTTTGACAGACCTCCAGGCCACCTCGCGAACAGTCACAGGCATGCGGCGATGTCGCACCGGACCTAACAACTCAGGTCACAGAATGCTTTTCAGGTGGATGCATAGCCAGGGCATACCGCATGAGGCCGCTCGCGACCGCTCGCTTTGGGATCGCCACGCGATCCATTGGGTTCGCCACCATGGCATTGCACCTGGCAAGTCGGATTTTCGGATTTGGCCACTTGCTGCCGCACAATACACCCCGGCTACCTACAAGGGTGTGCAAGGAGTTTTCACGGGTGGGCAGGTCTTTCTTCTGGCATGGCCAGATTCTGGACTCTGGGTTGTTGCAGAACTCGACCGAAGTGAGGGGTGGCGGTGTCACACCTTGCCTTTTCAGTTAGATTTCAGTGCCTTTCAGTCCTGTTTGCATTATTGCTTGGAACATTGGTGCAAGCCTCGATCCTTTTATTGCCGGCTCTATTTGCTTCCCATGGGCGAACTCGCTGCCAGTGGGTTTGTTTTCGGCGCTTTGCCTGCTTTCGACACTGTTCTTGATATGAGACGCATGGTTTGCGAAGTTTCTGAGGCTCCACCGGCATGGGTAGCTAGGTGAAGAGTCAGGTACGGCATTGGCTTGCCGCTGACTTTGAATGAGCTTCCGTGTTAGTGCTTGTTTTTCGCATCCCTGATCTGGGACGAGCGAGACCTGCTCGACGATGCTGGAGAGAGAGAGACACCTGCTGCTGGGATTTCATCTCAAGAAATACCGGAATCAGCCGGTCACGGGAGCGAGACACTATCGTTGTAAGTGCTGGGCCTGTGGCAGCAAGCCAGCAGAGTCAGAGTGATGCCAACGCGGATCAGACCATGGGAGCAAGGGCTTCCTAGAGTACCATCAGAAGAAGATGATGGCGGACGCTAATCCGTAAGTCTTGAAAAGGAAAAAGGCATCCCCCAGTCCTTCTTTCAGCGCCGGTTTCAGCAAGCATTCGCGAATCAGCGCTGGTTTCACAAGGAAGAGCCTGGTTTTTGTGTCGAATCAGCCCTGATTCACTCGAAGCAGCGCTGAAACCTTCGAATCAGCACCGGCTTCAGCAAGGTTTCGTCGAATCCACACCATGATGGCAAGGATCCAAGTTGACACGGATTCGACGAATCCTCGTCATGTGACATGGCTTCGATGCATCCTTGTTGGTTTGACAAGGATTCGGCGGGTCAAACTGCAAACGAAAAACAGGAGTTTAAGGTTCCTTGCAATTGGGCCTGCGACCGGAATGCGTGATGAGTTCAGTGTGACAATTTTGGAATGAGCAACATCAGTCTCATTTTACACTAGCACGTGCGTGTAGGAGCTGTGAGCATCCTGTAACTGATTCGTTTTGAAAAGAAGGCTGAGTTTGTGAGCACATGGGCCATGAAAGGAGCTGCGTTGATGCAGCCGCACTTTATTTATCGCGAGCGAGCTGCGCAATCCTGCGCCCGGTCAATCCTGCTGCAAATTGAAACTTAACGGAGCCTCTTCTTTTGTTGGCTTTTGCCAGGAAAAAGAGGTGGGGCAATTTTTTGCGGTGTCTCTTTCTCTTTCTCTCTCAGGCTCTCAAGAAGTTGTGCATCCTGACATCAGTAGAGTGTCCATCTTACCTCCATATATTTTCCTAATCCTTTCTCACATTAGGTGCCACAGGGTGGACAAGTTTATGTGCTAGACGCGGCAGAAAGTTTTGACTTCTGGCAGTCGGCATCACGGCTTGTTGCGTCGGTTTGCTGCCCACTCTTAGAAAAAGAAAGACCACAAGACAGAGACAAAAAGAGAAAAAGCGAAGAAGAGAAAGAGAGAAAGCAAGAAAGAACAAATACAGAAAGAAAGAAATAAAGACAGAAAGAAAGCAAAAGCAAAAGCAAAAGCAACAAAGACAGAAAGAAAGAAAGAACGAAAGAACGGAAGACACAGAGAACGAGATAGAGACCAAGACAAAGATAAAGAGAGATGCGAGGACAATGATAAAGAGAAAACGAGAGAAAGATAAAGATAAATAGAGAGAGAGAGAGAGAGATAAGGGGAAAATACGCTCGCTGCAAACTATCGGTCTCAT